TGGCGATCGCTTACGCTCAGCTTCCGACCAGGTTGGCCGGTGAAGGTGTGTTCTGATGCAAGTCAGCGTTGCCATCGTTACTGGTACAGCTTTCGACCGGTCTGGAGACGGAGAGGACCTGAGGCCCAGGACTTGAGGACAGGTGGGCAAGTGTTGAGGTATGGCCAGTTGGGGTGTTGTGAAAAGCGGTGGGGGCGGGTTCATTTTGCAGCTCGGCTGCATTGGGGCAGATAGCGATTGTGGCAGACGCAAGATATGGCCTCCTTCGGCCCACTTGAGGAGTTATGATAACTGTCCGGGCAAGACAGACCAAGTTTTATGGAATCCCCACGTCAGATAGATGGGACGAAGCCGGTCGCGTAACCACTTGACCGCTCGCCCGCTCCTCAGTCCTGCCTTCACCCGCCGTAGACCCTGTTCGTTCAGCCTCAGCTGGCCTTCCTAATTTGCCCATTTGTCAATCCACCCACATGTGCACATACATACAACATATATTCATATATACACATATGCGTATGCACGTACCTGCTGGCATGCATACCTTGTATGGACATTACCAAATAGTCGCGAGTACTTGCGTCGCTTTGGTACCTACTGCCAGCTCAGCAGTTGCCTCGCAACTTGGCTACAGGATTGCCTTGAAATTAGGCAATTCTTCTACCGATCCCTTCTACCCGTCTCTATGACGGACGGTCACGGCGCCCGGCCTTCCAAAAGGCTCTTGTCCCCCAGGCCCGGTAGAATCGGGCCAAAGGCAACTCATCAGGAGATAAAGCGAAGTGGCAATGAAGGTGGTGCTTCCGTAACCGCGAGCGCTTGTGCATGCATGTGTATGCCTTTATCTCCCTTTCACCATTACGGAGACAGGCAGAAATGGATAAATAAATGGATAGATATACAAATCTATCTATCTATCTATATATAAAGAAAGAGAGAAGGAGAGAAAAAGTGAGGGAGAGAGGAAAGGGTACAGTAGGAGTAGGAAAGCAAGGCAATGGGATTGCGATAAAGCGACGATGAAATCGGCCGGCTCAAACGATAACGACGGAAAGAGATTTGGAAAGACAATTTGGCCAGTGCGCGTTTGACAAGATGGACGCAGAAAACGTTCCTCATGTACATGTACATGTGCATACACATCCACACCAGCGCACATAGGCCCTGCGCGAGGAGGTGGATGAGAGGAGGGCAACCCCCAACCATCCTCCCCCCATTCACGTGGTCTATAAATATATAAATAAAAATATATAGACATATGTATAAAGTAAAATATGTGTATAGATGGGATGAGTATTATTTGACGAATGTATCAGGCGCAGGTGTGTTAAGGCAGTGGAAGTGACCGAGTTGGTTACAGCGGTCACCGGTGTCGGTGAAGTCAATCTACCAGTTCCCGATTGTCAAGAGACAACCCTACCACCCCGTCCCACTCACCTTCATGGCTGAACTCGTGCATGTGGCTGCCTCGGTTGCGAGGTTCCCAAGTCTGTGGGCCCGAAAGGGGTGGAGGCCAGGCTTTCCCCACTGCCAGTCTAGACGGTGATCTCGTGCTACAGCCGGTTGTTTACGTAACAGATTCGCCCAGTCTGCGACGCCGTCTCCTCCGCCTTATCCCCCACCCTCCCATATTATCTGTTGTCCTCATGTGCATAGTCATGTACACACAGGCTTACGTACGGTCTTCTCGCCTTCGTTTACCTGTACCAAAGCCCCCACTAACGCCCACCCTACAACCTGATTTGTGGTGTCCATTACCTCTCAGACACTGGCGGTCGGACTTGGTGTGCAACAGGGACAAATTATGCGAATCATGAGCCGCCAGTTTCTGTAGTCGGGTTTCACCGGGACCAAGAACAACGCCCACAAGCCTTATGCGATGAGGAACCTCGATGCATGAAGACCTTACT